TCAGAACTGAAGCCTCTCCCAAAGTCCACCTGTCAGCCAAAGATTAGACAGGTCTATCAAACAAACAATAACACATGTGAGCAATATGCTTCTTAGTTCAATCAAGTATACGAGACCAAATGGGCAACACCTGCCCAAAAGCAAAGATGAGAAGGCAGGAAGAGACAGGAAAACTGGACAAATGGACACAGGGAACCCAGGGTGTAAAGGGAAAGGGAGAGAGTGCTGACACATTGCAGGGATTGCAACCAATGTCACAAAACAATTTGTGTATAAATTTTTTAATGAGAAACTAATTTGTGCTGTAAACTTTCACCTAAAGCACAGTAAAATTAAAAATAAATAAATAAATAATATATTTTACCGAATACTGCGCACCTTCTACATTTGTTTGCCAACCATGCCCTCCCCTCCACAAGATATTTTCATAAGGGCTGTTATGCTAATTTTTTACATGTTGCTGTAAAAATAAATTAGCATAGCATGCTTATGAAAACACTTTGCAGGGGGAGGGCACAGCTGGCAAACAAACATAGAAGACGAGCATTATTTGTGTAAAAATATGGTAAACACTTCTTGAATTATTCCAATTTGAGAGTACCATCTATTTCCTGTTGGATCTCTCACTAGGAAAAAGACTATGCACTATTCCAACATAGAATCTAAAGGAATGGTTAAATTATAATACAGTTTATCTATGTTGGAAAAGTGCATAGTCATTATAAATCAGGTTTTTAATGTCTGGTAGCAAAGGGAAGTGATACAGTAATAACTTTTTCTAATCTTAAAATGTCAAACACTATAAAGCTACAGTAATCAAAACAGACTTGTACTGGTATAAAGTTAGATATGTAGACAAATAGAATAAAGAATTCAGAAATAAACCTGTGTATCTATGGCCAATTAATTTTTAACTAGGGTGCCAAGTCCATCCAATGGGGAAAGAATTGTCTCTTCAGCAAATGGTGCAGGAAAAACTGGATCTCCACATGCAAAAGAATGAAACTTGACCTATATCTCACACTATATATGAAAACTAACTCAAAATAGATCAAAGACCTAACAGTAAGAATTGAAACTATAGAATTCTTGGAAGAAAACATAAGGGTGATGCTTAGAGACCTAATTTTTAACAATAGATTCTTAGATATGACACCAAAAGCATAATCGCACAAAAAATAGATAAACTGAACTTCATCAAAATTAAAAACTTCTGCGCATCAAAGTATTTTATCAACAAAGTGCAGAGAATATTTTCTCCACAGAAGTGAAGAGAATATTTTCTCTACAGAATGAGAGAGAATATTTGGTAACCATATACCTGATCAGGGTTTAATATCCAGAATATATTAAAAAAACTTCTACAACAATAACAAAGAGATAAGCAACCCAATAAAAAAGTGGGCAAAGGACTTGAATAGATATTTCTCCAATGAAGACATACAAATGATCAATAAGCACATGAAAAGATGCTCACTGCCATTATTCATTAGGGAAATGCAAATTAAAACCACAGCAAGATAACCACTTCACCCTCACTAGGATGGCTATTATTAGAAAAATGGATAATAAATGTTGGCAAGGATACGGAGAAATTGAAACCCTTGTCCATTGCTGGTGGAAATATAAAATGGTGCAGCCACTGCGGAAAACAGTTTGGCAGTTCCTTAAAAAGTTAAACATAGAATTACCATATGACCCAGCAATTTCACTCCTAGGTATATAGCCAAAAGTCTTGAAAGCAGGGATTCAGATACTTGTACACCATTGTTCATTACAGCACTATTTACCATAGCCAAAAAGGTGGAAACAACCCAAGTGTCCATCAACAGATGAATGGACAAACAAAGTGTGGTATATACATACAATGGAATATTATTCAGCCATAAAGAGAAATGAAATTCTGATATACACTATGACATCGATGAACCTTGAAAACGTTATGCTAAAGGAAATGTCAGACAAAAAAGGACAAATATTGTATGATTCCACTTACACAAAATATCTAGAAGACGCAAATGCATAGAGACAAAAGTTTATTAATGGTTACCTGGGGCGGGAGAAGGGGAGAATGGGGAGTTATTTTTTGAGGGACACTGAGTTTCTGTTTGGGGTGATGAGAAATTTTTGGAAATAGATAGTGATGATGGCTGTGTAACATGATGAATGTAATTAATGTCACTGAATTGTACATGTAAAAACAGTTAAAATGGCAATTTTTTAAATTATATATATTTTATCACAATAAAATTAAAGAAAAAGAAAGTCAAGCAAACAGGATTCTGGCAGGAAAAGAAATTCCATAACCTAGAAGGACTTTAATGAAGGGACAGTTTAGAAGAGTGGGCAAAGTAAAGAGCATCAATAAGGGATGGTGAAGCACCAGAGACAAGAAAGAGCAGAAAGCCATTACCACCCTTACTGCTCAAGAAACAAAAGGAAGAAACAGCCTTCCAGTGCTAGAGCCCAGTGAGAGGGGGAGCCATAGAGGAGTCATGGAAGGAGACAGCCCGTGCCAGAGCCTCAGTCTGCAGCAGGCTGGGAGTTGGGGAAGAAGTACCCTATCCATCAATCTTCTGTCTCCCATCACCCTACCCACCAGTCTTCTAACTCCCGTCTCTGGTCTCCAGCTGGTGCATTCCATTCACTAACCCCAATTGGAAATTAGACTGAGTCCATAGATGTCAGCCTGCTTGGGCTCAGAGCTAGGCAAAGAAGAGCAGAGAGAGGGTTTGGGTTGGTGGGAATGGGAAAGGCAACAGACAATTATCAGTATAACCACTATATCAAGTTCCATGCAAATATGAAAAGTGTGAAAAGTGATACATGTATTTATGTATAACAGAAGACTGGACCAGATATTTAAAGTAGCTACCTCGTGGTAGTAGAAGCATAATAATTGGTTTTTATTTTCTCTAGAGTTTTTAGTATATTTTCCAAGTCAATATAATGACTATGTACTACTTTTAAATTTGTCTTTAAAAGACAAATACTACTTGGAGATGCATTATTTTAATTTTAATTTTTAAAGGAAATATAGCCTCCTCAGTGGCTCCTTATGGTAACAATTTCAGCTCCTGAAACTTCCCCAGAAGCAGGATCTCATCTAGAGTAAGATCAAGTTCAAATGAGAGTTGTCTTTGTTTCTCAGAGCTCTAGTTTGTTTCACACTATTCTGCCCATCAATGGGAAAGAAAAACAGTCTAATGTGATACAAATGGTATCATAGTTCTAATCATATTAGTATATCTAGAATCTTGTTCATTACTGTTAACTTTGTCATGTAGCAAAATTGATCTATGATAATCACGTTATCAAACAAAATTTCTCATCCTAGAGTTCGCTGCACAAACCTCAGCGTATAGGCATTAAGAACAGTTGCCACTGAGTTGACTCTGACTCATGGCAACCTTGCGTGTGTCAGAGGAGAACGGTGCTCCACAGGGTTTTCAATGGTAGATCACCAGGTCTTTATCTCAAGGCACCTCTGGATGGACTTGAACTTCCAACCTTTCAGTCAGCAGCAGAGCACATTAAAGTTTGCACCACCCAGGTACTCCATGTAGACATCAACCTCATGTAAGCACTTACCTTCAAAATCCTTTCAGTGTAATTACACAGTAAACAAACAGCCCTCTCAGAGTACATTTGTTTTCAAAATTACTTTTAAAACTGTTTGACTTAGATTATTTGTTCTACTGCATCATCTTTCATGTTTTAATTTGATGAACTACAAATAAAGCAGTACCAAGGAGTACAGTGATATTGTCAGCAGTCTGCTTTTAGCCGCTGTTTCCCACACCCAGCATTCCTTTTCTATTCATAGCACTGTCCTTATGCTTATTGTCAGCTCACGCTGGATAAGGGCTATAAGAGGGAAGCAGCTAATTCCTCCGAAGAAATACGTAGTATGTGCAGAATGACATAGAAAACCTTTGGAATGTCATAGGCCAGCTGTTGAAGGCAATATTACTAAAGCAAATACTTAAATTCTACCAAGGTCTCAACCCATTTCACTGCAGTTCAGGAGAATACAAACAGTCATCATCAGATGTGCTGTGTAAACCCAGACACACTGTGTAAACTTAGACATCCACTGGCTGCCAGGCTATTTAAAGCTAAGGCTGATGCAGCGATAGCAGATGCGTCACATTTTGCCATCTTCTGAAATCTAAAAATGTAAGTAACATCCAAATAGCATAGATTAAAACTCTCTGAGTTCAGCAAATACACTTTTTAAAGTTGTTTCTACACTTAATTTATGAGAGTATGGGTTAATACATGTCAATATGTCATAGGTATCCATAGAACATACACCTGTTCTATTAAAAGAAATCATTCCAGTTAGGATTCAGTTTAGCGAGAAAAAAAAAAAAAAGAGAGAGAAGAAAGGAGTACATCTTTAGAATTTTTTAAAAATAAGATTTTCTATCTGAAAATTCCAACTGAAGTTTAAGGCAGTGACAACTATAGTGAACCATAATTAGATTTCAGATCCAATGTCCTAGTACTGTTTTAACCGTCAAATTCTTTATTAAGATGCTCCATTTTAACTAAAATACGCTAAAAAGAAAAAGTTATTAAGTGAAGCAAAGCACAACTCTTTTCAGCAATACAGTTTTTATAAAATAGTTAAGAATTCCTTACATCAAAATAGTTCTTTTGCAGTTGATTATTACAAACGCAGGCCCTCTTGCAACGTGGGAGTAATGGACAAATAATTGAGTCTTCTCTAGTATAAAACTACAGACTCCTAAATTGTCAATGTTCAGTTGTAAGAATAACATCACTTTGAGCTGTAGGCACAATACTTAACAATTTTTCCTTTCTGAGTTAAAAGAATAAAGACAACTTCAACATACCGGGAATTATGAATATATTTTTAATCTTCATAGAAATCACGGTAAATTATTTCAAACATGGGTAATACAAACATTCACGTGGTACCGCTGGCAGAACTCTAATCTTCCTTGTCCTGTGTTAACAGGACTGACAAGATTTCACTTTGTCCCAGCTGGATCCTTTACTTCCACCACCAAAATTCCATCATGGCAGAGGATTGCAGACAAATCTTTGATTTCAACACCATCTGGCAGCTTATACTGTCGGGTAAAGCTTCTTGAGATAAAGCCATGTTCATCCATTCTGGTTCCATGCTGAGCCTTAATCAACAGCCAGCCTTCGAAGGTCTGAATGATGATATCTTCAGGGAGAAACTGGACTACATCCAGCAGGATCTGAAATTGGGATTTACCATCTTGTGACATCTCGGCCACCGAGTCCGCTTGAGTAGCCTGGGCAGCCTTGGCTTTTTTAAGATCCACAATGGTTGGCCCAGGCAGTGCATATAAAGCATGGTCCAGCCTGCAGTCTTCCAAACGTCGAGTTTCAAACTCCTCTTGGTAACGCACCGGAGTCTCTATGAGGTGCCTCAGAATGATTTTTGCCATGGTGGAGGAGAAACGGGCATTGAGCAGCTTCCCTTCCGTCTAGCTTCTGTCAGGTTCCACTGGTGAACCCTCCTTGTTGCCTGCTGACTAGATTATCAGCTGGAGCGGCTGTTCGTTTATAGCCCTGCCCAGATGCAGCCACTTAATGAGGCCTGAATCATACCAGGACACACTCACTCTTGTCTTTTCACACACACTGACGATGAGCTGCTATTTATAGGGTGTGTTTCAGAGTTGCGTTTAGCACACAGGCTGCACAAGCCGCAGAGTAAAGGACTGCCCTCACATTCTCAGTCATCCTTGGCAAATGTGTCTGCCCGGTTTACCGCAAGAGAAAAGGAGTGCATCAGAAAGGATATGAGTGCTCTGTCCTAGTGAACTACAGTGATTTGAAAAACACTACCTCTTAGTCCCAGAGACATGCACAAATCCTATAATACGGGCTGACAATATTGCATTTATTCTAGTCTCCAAATACAAATGCATATGCTGGGGAGAGATGAATCTAGCTTTAATTAATTAGGAATTAAGATGCACGAGCTCACACACACATATACACGCACACACACATTCAAATCTCGAGTGTTCAACAAGTCTTTAGTCGTATACATTTTGCTTTATTTCATCTTTTAATCTTTTGTGCATACGGGACACCTGAGCTACATCATCTGAGTTTATTTACATTTGACTCATCAAAAAAGGAGACCGGTTGACTGAGCTAGATGAGTGCCAGATCTCAGATGGGGACTGGAGGGACATAGAATGGGGAATCTTAGTGAAAACAGAGCCCCAGCAGACAGAAAATGTTGAAGCTTGGAACTATTTGACATAAAAGCCCAGAAAACTAACAATTCATCTAGTCATGGCTCTGCTATTGAATTGGTGAGAACAAATTACATACAATTTCTCAACTAAAACACCCTTTATATTGGACATCCACTGAAAAAGAATGAGGCAGTTTTTCATCTACTGCTATGAAAGGGTCTCCAAGACATACTAAGTAAAAGAAAAGAAAAGTCAGAACAGTACTATATGATATGCTACTATTTATACTTTTTGAAAAGTAGGGCTTTGCTTGTACAAAAAGAATCTCTCTGGAAAATACGTACCTGGGAACAGTGGTTGCCTCATGAGAGGGTTAACAGGGTGACTACGAGGCAGGAATTGAAGAAAGACTTATTTTTCACTATAAATACCCTTGTACTTTTTATTTGTACAGTGTGTATGTAATACATATATGCAAAATAAGTTGTAAAATATAGAAAACTCCCTCTCTATGGTATTTTCTAGAATGGGTAGACTCCAGGAATATCTTTCCTTTAAAAAAAAATGTGTATTTTATTAGAAGGAAAGAAAAATGTCTGTAAAAAATTAAAAATCAGAAAACAGAAGGGAATAAAATCTCCTTTAACTCCCTTTTATTACTCGAAAAAAACCTCTGTGCACATTTTGGTGTATACCTACTTATGAACATGCCCTAATAATGCTGTTCACACTTAGCTTTTTTGAGCTGCACTTTACAAATTGGTGGCCCTCAAGGGAAAAATAAATACTTTTAGATATGTTAACGTCCCTTGGGTTATAAAATATTGAGATGTTTTCATCAGTGCTGCTCTGAGTGGTTAAGTCAAGAACAGAACTTACTCCCTGTAGCAGGAAATATATAGAACCTTAAGGATTTGGCTTTAAGATGCCAGAAAGAGGCTGCTAGGATAGGGCAGGGAAAATATACGCAATGCTCTTATAGTTTCTTGCCTCCAGGGACCTCTAAAAAAGACCAGAGGACTAGAGCTAAGTGATAAGTTTCCACAAGTGATCATGGGAGTGAGTTGCTGAGGTTAAAAACAAGCATCCACGTTTCTGACACATTCTAGACTCCTACTTCTGCCATTATTCCCAAACTGCCTGTCTCCTGTCTTAGTTATCTAGTGCTGCTATGACAGAAATACCACAAGTATATAGATGGCTTTAACAAACAGAAAGTTATTCTCTGACGGTTTAGGAGGCTAAAAGTCCAAATTCAGAACGTCAGGCAGAGGGAAGGCTTTCTCTCTGCCGACTCTGGAGGAAGGTCTGTGCCCACTAGGACAGCCTCTTCTCAGCCGTGTCCACACGCAGGCCTCTCTCTGGCCCCTCGGCCCCTTGAACCCTTGGCCTGGTCTCTGCCCTGCTCAGGTTAAGTGTTACAAAGTTCTTTAACTCTGCTGATAAATGCCCAGAGGCACCCTACTCCTCCAGGAAGCCTCGACTCAAAGGCGCTCAGCTCTCTCTCACTCTGTCTATGCGTTGGCTCCCACATCATCTTGCGCTGCCAGTCTCCTAGTTCTGCTGCTGCTGTTTCTGTGCCACGGCTTCTCACTGTCTCGTGCTGTTTCCACACAGCTCTCTCTCTGTGTCTCCTGTTCTAGGAGGTTCTCAGGGCAAGGATCCCAGGTCCAAAGGCCATGCTCCACTCCCATCTCTTCTTCTTGGTGGTATTGAGGGTCCATCTCTCTACTTGCTTCTCTCTCCTTTTATCTCTTGTAAGATAAAAGGTGTGACTCACGTAAGGGTGTGACTTGAATAAGGGTGGTGACTGGGGTAAGGGTGGTGACTTGAGTCACACCTTCTAGTAAGGTGGTGACTCAAGACACTTCCCACCCTAATTCTGCCTTATTAACATAAAGGATAACTCACTCCCAAATGGGACAATAACCACAGGCATAGAGGCTAGGATTTACAACACATCACAAAATGGAGGATAATTACATCAGATCACAAAATGGAGGGCAACCACACAATACTGGGAATTATGGCCTAGTCAAGTTGACTCCTATTTTGGGGGTACACAATTCAATCCATAACACTGCCATTTGACTTTAATCCTAAGCCTGAACTGCCTTCCCCCTCATTATCAACTACCTTGACCCTTAGTCTTTTTGGAGACCCCAGCAGGCTTCCTAACTCTTCCCCTGTCCCTACCCTTGCCCCACAGTCCATTCCCCATATTGTAATTAGAGCAGTTACTCTAAAGCATAGATTTCGTCACTCCTCAGCTTACAAACTCCAATCAGAAGCTTCTCACTGCAACCAGAACAAAATCCAAACTCCTTACCATGGCCTTCAAGGACCTGTTATCTGACTCCTGCCAACTTCCTCATCTCCTTGATTCCTATGCTTCAGCCACACTGGCCTCCTTTCTGTTCCTTGAATACTCCAAGCTTGTTTCCTTCTCAGGCCCTTCGCACTTGGAGTCCCTCTTGCTTTGAAAGCTCTTCTTTCAGATCGTCACAAGATTTCCTCTTTCTTATCATTCAGGTTTCAGATTAAATGTTACCTCTTCAGGCAGGCTTTCCCTGACCATCTAGCTAAAGCTCTCCTCCTTTCACTTTGTCATAATGCCATATTTTATCATCATAGCCACTATCAGCATCCAAAATTATCTTGCTTATGGTTTCATATTCCTTTTGAAGAAGACAGACAATGGTACCTTGAGGTCAGAAACTGTATGGTTCATTGCTGTATCCCCAGCATGTAAGACAGCACCTGGAAAATGGTAGGTGCACTAAGTATTTGTTGAATAAAAAAAATCAAGCTACTATAATTTTGTAATTGTTATGCCATAGCCCTCAATGCCACTTGGCCATCCTGCTCCAAAGCAGAAAATCCAAACTTCATCATCTCCTCAGGCCTTCTCTTGCATTCCAGGTCTCACTCCCTCGGATGAGGTGACTTCACTTGAGGCTTTCTACATACACACCCATACATCCTAGAGGAAGAGAGGCCTCCCCTGTTCCCTTTGCCTCCTCTCATAATTCCTTCCGTTTCTTCCCTCATCCTGTGCGCTTTTACTCAACTAGTGATTCCCTTTCTTGATGTTCTTTAGTCTCTCACTGTCCACTGGCTCCTCTCCATCAGCCTCTAAAGGTCAAGTCTCTTACATCTTTTTAAAACAAAACCTCCTAGACCTTGTGCCACTTCCTAGCTAATTATTTCCATTCCCCAGATCCCAGCTCCTTGAAATTTTAGTCTGTATTCAGTGTTCACTCTCCAAGCTGCTGCAACTGACTTCTGCTGTACCAAGCCCTTAATTAGGTCAAAGACATCCTCATTGCTAAATTTAGACTTTCATTCGTATCTTCCTTAACCTCTTCAGCATTTGACATAAGCCACTCATCAGGAAAGAATGAGAGTAATTTTTTTCTCTCAGTGGGGCCAGCAGAAATTTGTTTTATTCTATTCCATGCATTCTTCATATGGGTGGCATTATCCTGAAAGGGATAAAAATTTGTCCTTAGGGAGCAAAAAACCCTTAAATATTTTATAATGGTTTGTGGCCCTATAAAAGGCCACAGTACATAAATAGACATACAGTATATCCATGGTGTTAAAATTTCAGGGAGGGTGAAAGCAGGGAAAAGGCTGTCAGGCCTAGCTTTTAACAATAGATTGTATAATAACAAAAGTATGAACAGCAAAAGACAAAATATATAAGTGAGACTTCATAAAAATTAAATACTTTGTTCATCAAAGGACTTTACCAAAAAAGTGAAAAGGTAAGCTACCAGTTGGGAGAATATCTTTGTAAACCATATGTCTGATAAAACTCTAATAGCCTATATATGCATATATATAACTTCAACAATTAAACAAAGACAAATAACCCAATCAAAAAATGGGCAAAGGGTTTGAATAGACATTTCACCAAAGAAAATATTCAAATGGTCAGCAAACACATGAAAAGATGCTCAATGTCTTTAGCCATCAGAGAGATGCAAATCAAAGCCACAATGAGGTATCACTTCACTCCAATTAGGACGGCTAAGATTTAAAAAAAAAAAAAAAGAAGAAGAAAGAAAGAAAAATAACACATGTTGGAGGGGATATGGGGAAATTGAAATCCTTTTCCATTGCTGGTAGGAATGCAATATGATACAGTAGTTGTGGAAAACGGTGTGGCAGTTCCTCAGAAAACTAAAACTAGAACTACCGTATTATGGTGAAATGAGTTCCCTTCTGTG